TTCAATGTATAGATTAAGAGGAAAGAAGTTGCTCCTCTTTTACTGTATTTTGATTTGTAATTGATTGTTCGAAAAAAAGTTCTTTTTAGAGAGAAATGTTCAGGAATCAATGTTAGATGAAGTCTTCTGTTAGAATAGATAACACAAGAATACAATTGATCAGAAAATGTGTTGTGTTAGAGAAATCAACAGAGTCCTGGTTGATTGAACTTGGCTGAGTCACAGAGAGATTTGTATATATGTATTACAAAATTCTGTGTCTGTGTGTGCGTTTGAAATATTGTGAGTAAAGTCATAGGTTTGTGTTAACAGGCGAAATTTAGTGGACTCTACTGGCGGCTTGTGAAAAAGTCGCCTCTTTTAAAGCTACAGATAGGCTCCCAGCGAGAACACGGTAAAAGTTGATTTTGCACTAAAATATGTGATTGGTTAAAATTTGACCAATCGCTAAATTTGTACTAACGAAACAAGTAAGCAAGTTCAAAACCGAAAAATTCAAAGCAACGACTGCGATGGCTAAATTGTCCTATTGAAAGGCAGTATTGATTTATTAGCCAATCGCAGACGAATAAAATGTGCGCGTGGAAAAACGTAGCAGTCGCTACAATATCAAACTTAATAAATGTCACTCTATTCTTATTACTCATATTGGCGGACCATTTGATAGTGTCTGACGAAAGATTGTCACAGGTTGTGATTAGTAGTTTAACGGTTATTTTTTTAATTATATTTTTTTTTAGATTAGAGCTAGTTCAGTTTTAGTTTGATTTATTAGTCTAGACTGTGTAGTACTAGCGAAGTTAGCTTTATGATCCTTAAATAAAATAAGCATCTTTAGTATGGATCTTTCCCACTCTATCTGCAATATTTAACTTATTGGCTATTTCGATAGTCTCTGTATCGATCTCGGATATCCTACTGTTGTATCAATCTAGTTTGTATGTGTCTTATTTTGTCCGTGAGGATTTTGTGGTAGAGTGAAGGGTTACATATATAAATATTTTTGATTTATCGGCTCTTACCCAAATGTCTTTGGAGTTTTTAATAGTCTTTATGTCCTTGTTTTTAGTTGCTGATTTAGTATGATTTATATCTTAGATACATTTAGTAGAATCGTAAAACCAGAACTAGTGGGGCTATATACAGATGACGGACTCATCTTCATCCGCAATAGCAATGGTCCTCTAACAGTGAAGTTACAAAAGAAAATCATTAGGGCCTTTAAATTACTAGGGTTTAAGATTGAGATTTCTTCTAACCGTAAAGTAGTTTATTACCGAGACATCACCCTTAACCTTAATGATAAAAAATTTATTTCAAATCTTATCATAAAGAGAATGAAACGCCCAATTTAGTTCTAACCACCCCAATGATATTCTGAAACAAATACACACTACCGTTTGCACCAGAATTAGTAAATTATCATCCAACGAAAAAAATGTTTAATAAAATTAAAGAACCATAAGAAAAGGATTTCCATAAAAGTGATTTCAAAAATAAGCTATCGTACTTAACCACTATAGGTAGTACCGGAACACCGGAAGTGGAATGTCGGCGTTGAAATAGAAAAATAAAATATTATTCGGTTCACATCCCACTTCTGCAAACTGTCAAATATTAATATCGGACAGCACATGTATATTATAATTTAAGTAAATTCTATGTGAAACAAAAAAAAAAAAAAAAAATCCAGCATCTGTAATTTTAGAAATAGAGAAAACTGCGCAGTCGAGAGCAAGGTCTACAAGGGTAGCATACCAAGCAACCATTAAACCTAAAGAAAATAAGACAAATTATAATGTGTACATCGGAATTTCCGCGGGGGGGATTGAAACAGAATTTATACACATAAGCACTCATTTAGTAAACTTAAATTAAAAGAACAAACAGCCCTTTCAAAAAAATTGGGAATTTACACTAGGTCCCTGCTTCCGGCTTTCCTGCCAACTTAACTCACTTGGTTCAGGAAATTACTGCGTGTATATCGTCCAGACTTTCATATAGCCTATTCCGTACATTTAACTACCAACTACGAAATGCCAGCACCGTGCTTTTAAATTGAAATTTCTTCTCTTTGGCTATATCGTCCATACTTCAAATAAACTACTCCGTACACTTCGGTTAAAATATTACGGAAGGTTCACCATTGGACTTAACTAGGAACTTTTCAACACTTTCGCCCGACTTGTGAACTGAACTTTCGAAATGTTGACTTACATGCAAACTTAACCTCCAAGGACTTTTAACATTTAGTCACAGTTAAAGTATATAGATCTTCTAGCCGGTCAGTTTCCTCAATTTACTTACTTCTGCCTCTTGATTATTTGTTTGCTCACGTTCCTTTAAACAAATCACTACTATTGTATCCGATGTAAATAAATTTTGTATTAATTTTAAGTCTGTCATTTGTTGTATTGTTGTTGACCTGCCAGCTTTTACGTCATTTATTTTTAAAATGTTGGTGGGCCTCTTGTGACTCATACTTATTTGGGGCGCTCAGGTCATATTATAGAGCGCCCCTGCAGGATGTCCACTACAGTCATTAACTAACTGTGTATCTGCATGACCCTTGCGGTACGTACTACACAGGAACATCCGACAAGGTTGGAGTCCCAAAAGGGCGAGATTCAGCAGAACATTTTTTCTTCTTTTTGTACATTTTACTATATTCTTTTGTCAATCATCAACTATAATAATCGACAGGGCCGGTGCTTACTACCCCGAACCTCTCAACCGCTTGGGAGCCAAATGCCTACTGGGGAGGAGGTGAGGTAGAAGTGCTAATTTCAGTATTGCTTATTTTTTAAAATTCTAATTTTCTTTCTGAACTGTTCTTTGAAATCAGTTAAGTAAGTGGATAATATATTTCGGTAAAATAATTTTTTATTTCGAGATCATCCACTAAGTAGGATCTCTGATTTTTTTTTTTTTTTTTTACTAATAGTAATTCTAACCAGAAGTTCACAGCTAGTAATTAAAATAAAATTTCTAGTCCCTATTTTTTACATTTCTAGAAAGATAAAACCGAGAAAATGATCAACACATGAAAAATTTTCCTGAAAATTATAATACTGTTTTTAAGACAATCCCATTTGTGTTGTGTTGGAATCTTTGTAAAACTCTTTTCTTTTTTTTTTTTTTTTTTCATCTGAGATGCGACGGCCCCGCTTTTTTTCTTGGATTCGTGGAGGTTGGAAAATATTGAAATCGACATGTGGTAGAGAGTGGGGTGCGTATGAAAATTTTGTGAGGTCGTGACCCTAACGCCGGCTCTGCCAAGATATAAAACTTATTGATTCATTTTACATTAAATTCCCCATATAAAAATAAAACTTTAATTACTTTTGTTTTATGTTCCGAAATGTTGAACTTGAAAACTCTCAAACACGCGGCATTTGTTTTTTCTTATAAACGTCTATGACTTTTTGATGTCTTCGTGAAATATGCTGATGGGAGCACGCATGGGTTACCACTTAAATAAATTATGCCGTGTGATAAATTTACTTTCGTTAGGAGAGTGCATAAATACCTCCTCCTTTCGTTTGGGAAGAGCCTTTTCAGACTGAACTTATTCACTTGTTCTAGTTGAGTTTGTTTTTTCTGGATGAAATTAACTTGTTCTTATTTGCCAACTTTATTCACTCAACCGTATATTGTTAATACATGTGTACAAGTCGTTGAGTAGGTACATACACTACACAAACCCATTTATTAGTGAAAAATGCAGTAGGCACAAATCAGCATGGGCATGTAGTTACTAAACAGCTGAATAACTAGATGAATATAAACTCCTGGATTTACATACAAGTTTGTGCACAAAAAATGTCTTGTTAGAAGGATAAGTAGAACTTAGTTGGTTTTTGATTAAATTTTCAAAGAAAAATAAGTAAGGAATGCTGCAAACTCGGTACCACATAATAAAAAGTGGGTGGTGGGGTAACTCCGATATTAAGATTTAAAGAGTCTTCATTCCTTACATTAACGTTTCAGCCGTTCTGTCTTGTCTAGTTCTTATTTAGTACTGATCATTTATTGCTCGTCCCGTACTAAATAAGAACTAGACGATATATCCCTGGACATGTATCTATTATTCCAAGAGGTCGTCCATCTAGGTACTGACCAGATTTAACGTTGCTTAACTTCGGCGATCAGACGAGAACCAGTGTTTCAACGTGATATGGCCGTAAGCCTTTTTAATAGATTTTTTTTTCATTTCATACAGCACTGTCAGTTTGATTATTATTAGATGTTTCCAGAATATGACCTTATACAGAATTCTCTTAACAAAATGAGGACAATATGAAATACAAACCGAAATTTATAAAATTGTTTTAAGATTAAAATAAGTCACTATTTTGATTAATTTGTTTTCTACGGCTTATCAACCCTTTGCAGGTTATTTAAAGCCAGAAAATACTTTTAGATTGTATAATATTTTTCTTTTTGAGATAATAATGGTTTAGTGATACAAGTACTACTAATTAACCCATAGATAGGGGAGAAGAGACGGGTTCATACATTTCATATTGTAAAACAATATTTTTTTTTAAAGAAAACATGACGGAAGGAGGAACATATTGGTTTTTGGCTTTCGTAGGGAGTGGGGATCAATTTTCAATGGATTTATGTACCAAACCAGACCCCTTATAAAATATACACGCACACATATGTACATAGGGCATAATCTATCTATAGTAATATGAAAACAAATTGACAAAAATGATTTTTGGTGGTAGTGCCTGATGTACAACTACACTGCTAAAACTAGTTTATGAATGCATATGAGATTGCGTGTTTTTATGAAGAATTACTGAAAAATTCTACTGATCAAGAAACCACTCTCCTGCAAAAAAATCTGACATTTGCTGAGGTTTTGCGAGGTAGGTATAACCGAGAATTTTTCAGTATACCTTCGTATAGATCTGTAAACTTAAATCTGAATGTAAATTAACTTAAGCACAAAAAAAGCAGCAGTAGAAAGTCAGAATATATGAACTTACATTCTGTCATCTTTAGGCACAAAAGTTGTGCATACTCTCATAGAGATGTTGTTTTGAATCCATTGAATTTCTTTGTCGATCTGTAGGAGAAATAAGACAGAGTCACTGATAAATATAAAGAAACAAAACAGAAAATCATTGCAATATCATCGAACAAAAATGTCTAATTTATGGCGAATAAAGTGATTTTTCTGCATTTAGTTATTTTATGGTAGAAGAGTTTATTTTTGTTCTATTTTTTGTATATTTGCATTTATGAAAATAAGTCGATGTAAGCGTAAGCCATTTCCTGATATTAGGTATTAACTAATTACTGAATGTTACTGACAAGGTATTGTTATTTAGTTGTAATTTAGGTCTTCACATGTACGCCTCCAGTCATGGACACAAGTCTCATCAGAGATAGTACTTGCCGTTCCAATTGTAAGAGTGAAGGAAGCATTTCTGTGGTTAAACTTTAATTAAGAAAATCCGCAAGTATATTTTTGAATCTTTAATTTGGAGGAATTGCTTTAAATTAAAAAGTAAACAAGAAAAACAAACATACGTGTAACATAAGTTATGTCAAAGTTAGCTCTTAAATATATTTTTGAATTGTTCACTAAGAGTCGCTTCCCAATTTGGGCAAAATTTTCACTTTGCATTTCAGCAAAGACAAATAAAAATAAAAAGCAAACAAACACACACGTACGTACGAAATTCACCAAAATACAAACTTTTTACATTCACACAAAACACAAATGTTTGTCTTTGTCACTTACAAATTTGTTGTTTTAATACATATATTTGTTGAAATATTCTGTCTTGTTTGTTTTCTTTATTTAATAAAAATTTCTAAATCCGCCATGATCTGTTAGGTGGACCTTCTAAAACAGCATGTTTCTAATTCAATAACACGCACGAATGTTTTGTAAATAAATTTGAAAAGTGAAAATAATCAGTCGCACGAATGTTTTTAACTAGTTTAACTAGTTACAAAATTAAATCAAATAAATAACTATACCAACAATTACAAATAATGTAAAATAAATTTTTACAAATTAACTTTCTCTCAAATAAACAAACATATTTTAACTAAATAAATAACTACCTTTTGCGCTGCTGAAATGCTCATTTTTGTAAAAATGCGATTTTCTATCTTCGAGATGTCATTTCTTTACTTCTCTTTGAATGTTTATTCAGTTTTTATAATTTTAGAATGCTGAATACGAATTTATTACGGTTGGATGAGATCAACCAATGATACAGCAGTTCTTTTTAAAAACTAATTTTTTTTTAGGTTAGTCACTAATAACAAATCTCTCTTTTAATGTCATGTGTGATACAAGCAGGCTATCACATATCTTTCGATACAGGATACTAAGAAAATTTTTCCCGCAGTAAGTTGCTATTTCTTAGATGTAGACCAGTTGCCATCCAATCCGGTCTGGGGTAGAAAAAGAGGATTCATACCTTTCCCAAGCACAGAATTCGAACTCGGCTCTCCTATTCCTCAATCCGAAGCGCTATCCATTACTCCACCTTACGCAGCTAAATAAGAAGAGTTCACAAAGCAGTGTAAAATCATTTAAGATTGAAAAAAAAACAAATTATAATAAAAACATATATGCAGATAAAACTTAATATTCTGTTTTTAAATGTTGCATAACAACTCGTACTAATAGGACTTGCTCGATAATACTCGCTCGAACAGTAATCCGTATAATGATACGAATAGAGGAATAGTATAGAGAAGAGAATAGCGATCCGTATAGTAATAGAAGATAGACTAGAAATAACGATGATATTTATCGCACAGAGATGTACAAATGTGGCACAAGGCCAAAAAGGGGAATGGGGAAAAGGATGGTCTTCTTCTGTCTTACGTAAAACGTAGCTAGCCACAAACACTGGACAAAACATGCAACAATATTCCTTATATCAAAACAAGACATTTTTACATACCCGTCTTACCTCACCCACCACAATGCCTCAGAATCTCTCTGTAGTCCTAACTAGTCCCCATATGTACAATTCATTGCTTGTAGGGAGGGGAGATAAAATAACAATTTAAAAATCTAAAAACCTCAACGAGTATTTACAAATGTGTACAAAACTATATACAAGAAACTAAACAAATATAGTGTTAGTAATGACCCCCCCCCCAAACACACACACACACACACAAAGACTAAATGTGACAGAAACATCAGTTAACTGGACGAAATAAATGCGGGATTTTAAAAATATAAAATATTCATACATCCCATAGCGATAATATTTATTTGTAAAAATACAAAATGTGGCACAAGGCCGAAATGAGGAATGGAGAAAAAAGGACGGTCTTCTTTTGTCTTAACGTTAAACGTAGCTAGCCACAAACACTGACACAAACATACAACAATATTCCTTACATCAAAACGCATTCTTACTACATCCACCATAATACCTCGTGGTCTTCATGAAAGTACTAACTAGTTCTCTTATATACAATTCATTGTCTATGGGGGGTGAGGGGAATAAAACAACTAATTTAAAAATCTAACCCCAATGAATATTTACAAAAATGAACAAAAACTATATACAAGAAACTAAACAAAATAGTGTTAGTAATAACCCCCCCCACACACACACACACACAATCTTTAAACGTGGCAGAAACATCAGTTCACGGGACAAAATCAATACGGGACTTTAATAATATAAGACATTCATTCATCCCAAGCACTCACTCAACCACACACTCAGTGAAACACAACAACAAATACGAAAATCATACCTGAAATGAAAGGCGTCCCGCATCTACCAGAGAACTAACATCACTAACTACTTAATATGGGAGGGGATGGGGAATTAAACAAAAGAAAAGTAGGGACAGAAATAAAAAAAAATGCACCAATGAGCATACATCCCCTAGCTAATATATATGCATTTCCTCTATGGTCACGTAATCTACTTAATTCAATAATGGGATCGCCTGTGTTAGCTCACTGGCGACCTATGTTCAAGCTCAAGTGTCGGCAGCGACCTTTATTCCTATATAACAAAGTATTTATGTATTTCATCCGATTTTATCAAAGGATTATTTTTTTATATATCATTTATTTTTCATCATTAAATATATTTAAAGAAAAACAATTTTTAAGTAGAAAACTACTAAGACATTCTGCGTGAAAGATAGAATAAAGTCACCAGACCATTAGAATTTGACTAAATATCTATAGCTTTATAGTCACTAACAAATTTTAATAAAATAAAACGAATGAAATAACATTGCTAAAAACTTGAATCATTTAGCACTCAAACCGATCCCTTTTCTTTTTCCCTGAATATTTTTTTCTTAAATTGTTTACTTGTAACTTTGTGTGTGTAAAATAAGAGAATAAGTTACGAGTAAAATTAAAATTTTAAAAAAAATATTTGACTAAAACCAACCACACAGGTTATTGGAAATAGATCATGTTTCTGATATATGATATATTTGACATAATCACTTCCCGATTACAAGTCACACACAAAAGAAAAAAGAAGGAAGATTTTCAGGTAACTTTTCATTGGCCTTGTGTATTGACAAATAAACAACTGGCGAGAAAGCGAGTTTTCCTGGTAGAAAAATAGTTTCTCTTTCCACACTTCTCCAGTTTATCATCGTCGAGTAGGGTATATATATATATATGGATAGGGAGTTTTTCTCACTCACTTCACTCTCTCAGCCACTGACTGGAAGAACAGATGAGGATTTCCAAGCAGGAAAGCAAAAGGCAGCGAGACATTCATTATAGGGTTTAGTTAGAGAGAACAGGAGACAGTTCGGGAGCACATTTCTTAAGGACTATTACAGTGATGCCATCAGGTCCATATGCTTTGTGAGGATCCAGATTAGAGATAATCGCAGAAACCATGGAAGAGATTATATGCATATTACTCAACAGAGACTAAGTTCTAAGTGGAAAGTGTTATGGGACCTTACCCATAATAACATAATGGACTATTCCATACATAATAAATACTGCGCCAAGAGGAAAATACCTCAAGGGAGTTATCAGCCCGTCTGTTAGGCGACCGGCTGATCGATTGAACTCTCTGCATTTGTTACTACCACCGAAGATTTGGGAGGAACTGAACGAGGCTACGCCGAAGGGCGGATTCTTTTAGACCTTTAGCGGGGAGGTAAACCGACCCCGTGATAAAGCTTCGTGAACCCGTGTATACAGGTCAAAAATAGGGATGCGTTAACGGGCACCACGTCAAGATTTAATTTTTGAGCCCACGGGCTCGATCAGATCCAACGTTAAACCGGCCTTTGTGATATTAGGTACATGATGCCCTCGTGGGTGGGATCTATTGATTCAACTAAACATCAAACACATGACTTAATACCGTTCAGTCCGTCCGACAGTCCTTACGACCATTTACTGATCGGTTGAACTCCCTGCCTTCATTTCTGGCGGGAAGGTTTTCCACCACCCAGGAACCTGAACGAAAATAGATCAGGCTACGCTGAAGGGCGGAGACATTTATTTCGGGAGGCCCCTAAATTTCGACCATGAACACACCATGTATTTTTAGGACAAGGTTCAAAGATAGGGATGATCAACTTTACAGGAGGTTTATTCCAAACTCTTCGAACATCCTTTTACCAATATTTTTTGGAAGAATTCACTGAGCTCACGGGCTCGGAGATCCCACGTTAAACCGGCCTTTGTGCCGAATAACATGATGCCCTCGTGGGGGGGGGGGGGTGACTAAATACCGTTCAGTCCCGGACCAGTTGAAGTCTTAGGCCGTGAGGTACACCAGTCGAGTCAGTTGATTTACTGTTCCAGTCAAGAGTCGAAGCATGTGTTTGTACGAGGCAGTCCGAAAACAGAGTCGTTTTAAACGCATTCGTAGACAGGTACTTTTACAAGACATTGTTTCAATAGTGATACTGGTCGAGACTACATTGTTCCGCCCTACTAAACCTGATTGTTCGTACTAACCACTTTCTACGGTTCTGTGTATATATTTCTGTTTGTAATATATCTGTGTTATTCCATGTTATCTGTGTTATTCCATATCCGTGTTCGAGTTCTTATTTATTGGTTCTACCTTGGACCATCACCGTGGTACAAGGACCTGGACCATATTAGATTTTATACAATTGGCGACGAAGATTCAGAACTCACACGTGAAGAAACGCGCAAACAAATACAAAAGGTATTCAATACCGACAACGTCAAAATCCTCCAAAAAACCGTCCAGGCTACAGAATATCAGGTTACTCAAAAATACGTTAACATGGAAGATTTTATGTCAACCATTATGGAACTTATCAAAATCCAGTTAGATCAACAACAAAGTTACGAACAAAAACATCTGTAAATGCAAGAATTATTGATAAAATGGCAAATAAGGAGCAAAAACCCGAAAAAGAATCAGTTCTGCTTGAGTCCTCAAGACGCTATTTTTCTGGAGTAATATCGAAGATTTCAAGTACGCACCCGACGAAGATAAAACTTTTGTACAAATTAAACTCGCAGTCGAAGGTATGAATAAGATCTATATGATTTTGACTGCAAAAATTTTAGTCATCTTGTTTTCTATTTTGGCGCGGAACTTTTCGAGTCCCTACCACGGGACAAATTTTATTAAGAAAAATTAGGTTGAACAGGCGAATATACCAAATTTTATTGATTATATCCTTTTTACATTTCTTCCCAGAAAAACAAGCGAGTTAACGTTCAAAGAATTTATAAAATTGAAGATCTAAAATTGGTCAGACGGAACTTTTTTGTTGCCCTAATAAACAAGCTTAAATTCAAATTTTATAAATAAAGATGGGAAATGCATGAACCTTACAAAAAGGATAGCGAAGATTACGTAACTTTCATCCATTGTTAATAAATATTGTGACGAATTCAAATTATCGGAACTCAGCGCTGACAACTTCAAATGCTTAATTTACGTCCAAGGTCTAGTTTCAACCAAAGACGCAGAAATGAGACGTAGAATACTTACTAAATTGGAAAATGAACAAGATCTGACACTTCAAAAACTAGCCGAAGACTGCCAGAGATGCGTCAGCGTGAAAAAAGACTCTAAAGACATAGAACAAGCTGGCATTGCATGCATACGCAAAGTGCGAAGACAAAC